TTCTGGCTTTACTAGTTTCTTATTTTACAATATCCTCTGAACGAAAAAATCTATGGATTCACACTGATGGCTCACATACGTGAAGTATATACTCATACAGACACCTGGAATAATTTATAAATTAAAATACAGCTTATATACTCTGATATATAAATCAGATATTTAAAAAGTAGATTGAACAATGTACCTACAATGCTCAAAATTTGATTTAAATACCCAGCCAATTTAGTTTGTATAACCACGCTTAATGAACTCAACGGGGTCTTCAGTTTGTTCAACTAATTCTGTTTATGTTCTTTGCTTTGCTTTGCTTTGTTTATTGAGAAAGGATGTTTCAATTGTTATAATAAACTTTAGGTGTTAAATTAGTTCATAAATCATCTCATGAACTCTCATCTTTAATCATCTTAAGGCTATTTTACAATGTAACATCTGGTTTGCATTTTTTGAAAGGATCACGTATGATCACCATGAGTGTTTTTAATTATTTGTGACAAACGGGACATAGTCTACCTGATGGTAAGTGGGTGCTGTGGCCCATAGACATCTACATCTATTCTCGATTAAAAACTAAAATGCAGATTCGTTGCTACCCCTGAAACTGACTTCTTGACTAAATTGAAATGCCTTGTTTCAAGTAAAAAAGGTCTCTGTTTTGCTACATCCACCATATAAAAGACAGTAACATTGAGCTGTTATTTTATAATCTGGTACTCTGTGAGAGCGTGATTCTCCGACCAATATACATATATTATTAGAGATATTGGATATTGGATTCAGAATTGACATTTTTAGATATTTCGAACACATGTGAAGTTCGCCAACACGCATTGGGGCGGGGCGGCGGATACTTCCTTGCCCTAAAACCCTCTCAGAAATGAAAGGAGGCCTTTGCCCAGCAGTGGGACGTAAATAGGCTGTAACTTAAACTTAAAACTTAAACTTAGATATTTTTGAGCCATCAGTAGTACACCAGTTTCTTTATTATTCAGAAAACATGCATCATGAACCTTTGAGTTTAAAACGTATAGTTTGCGGAGTAATTGACAACAAAATCGGAGGTTGTTTGAAGTTGGTTGCAGGTTTCAATGAGCTTTATATCACCAGGTGGACTTTTAGTTTCTTTGTCATATATGTAAAACAAAGTGAAATTTCTTTTCAATGCGATAATACGATTTAAGATGGTGAAGATTGTTATATAAGATAAAATAATGATATTATTACTTAGCCCATTAGAATATAATGTTTTAATTGGCAAAACAAAAGTTAAATATGAATAATAATTCGTTATAAAGTAATGTCATGCAGTGATTATTTTCTTGTTTGTTTGATGTTTCACTGTATATAAAATTATTATAATTCATTCAAATGAAGATATAATACAAATATTTTAAACAAAACTGAAAAATCAATCATTTTGTTTATAGTAACCGGAAACAATTCTTCGTAATATCAAATAATTAATATAAATAAATCTCGCACTAAATATCAAATTACAGTGAATACCTATGAATATATAAATATGATAAGATAGATCGATCTTAGCGCGTCCAGTTGTTGGCAGCCACCTTGCGCTGTTTGTTTCACATGACTTCAAGTTATGTCAAAGACACTCAATATACTCCTTATCATCTCTCGTTTTATAGTCAATTTAGACCTTTCTATAAAAGACGAATAGTAAACGCTGTAGGTATTCTAATCATTTCTCCTAATTATGTCGCTAAGAAATAACGCTAAAACATTACAGAATGTTTGTAAATGAATTCTTTGGATTATTAATTTATAGTAGCGCCACGTAGCAGTTTTATTATGTCTGTAGCACAATCAGGTCGACTTGACTGGGGAAAGACTACACTCTCAGGGCTGACGACAGTGCTACATGTTGATTCATATTATTGAGGACAGTACGATTAGGTGCTTATGGGCCACAGCGTCCACTTAACATCAAATAGACTATCTTATTTTGTCACCATTACTACAGCAGTATATAAAATATGTGGCTTGAAAATCAGAAAAAGATCAAGTTTTCGAATCTGAAAAAAAAATATTGCTCACAAGCTGGACACCAAATAAATTAAAATAGCTTTATAACATACCTTTTTATAAATGAAATAAGATGCGTGTGCCCATTAGTAAAAGATATATTTTTTAAGATGTAACCTTTCCTAGATTGTGTAGAAAGGTGTTTGGTAGGAAACTATTGAGTATAATATCACAAAATAAATCAGATATTTTCATAATTAGAATTAATCACTTCAATATTCTATTCACTATTAACAGTCCGCAGATTTATATTGGCCATCCCCTTAGGAGAGTGGATTTGCTTTAATCGACGCCCTCAGCAGATTTGCTGACAGTGAGTTAATTGTCAAGCTTCTCTTGTTCGTTAACTGGACCAAAATTGAAACTTAACAAAATTATATAGGGATAGGCTTTTCTATAAATAATATAATTATGTTTTGTTTGTTGATTTATAAACTGTTAGTCTGACGTTGTTCAAATTATATGCCCTATATTTATTTATGCGGTTTGGTTTTTGGTTCCGTTTTAAAGGCATAATATTATGATATCTGGAGATTTGAGCACAATTCTCGAGCTACGTTTTATTTCGTGTTTGTGTATAAATACGAGTAGAAATGCATCACAAATGTGAACCAAAATAGCTTTTATTCTTGATGAGATTCACTCACTGGTGGAGAAATAAACACCGACCTGTTATAACCCTATTAATTTAATTATTTTTATATTTCGTCTAAAATTTTAAACGAATCTGAATTTTTTTGTTTAATGCTTAACAAATATATCGTCCCCGAGTTGGAAAATTAAATAACTCTGAATTTGTAGTTCTGAGATAAACGCGATTTAGTGTTTTTTTTTTTCAGTTAATGTACATTTGTTAAGAAATGTGAGACAATTTTACTGCCGGTAATTTGATATTTTGTGGACCTGATTACCTTTTACATTATGCTTTAACAAACTGAACTCAATCTTTAACTATAACTAAATAACACATATATAACACAAAAATCAAGCTGTTTAATTTTGCCACAACTGTTATTTATAACGTACTACAATTATCTACTTATTTCGGCTATTTATTTAGTTTTCCTACAAACTAAATACATTTGGTAGAGTAAAATTTGGTGAAATAAATGCATTTATTGAATTTATCAAACTCGAAATATTTTGAAATGTAAAATTTTGTGGCTTTGTACGTTATTATTACTTCGATATTTTTTAACTATTATTGGTCTCATATAAAATAAAAGTTGTTTTATGATATTAATAAAGTTATATTCAGGAAGAAATAGAAAAGTACAATAAAATTTAGAAAAAGTGTATTGTAATCAGATACTTATCTTACCACAAACTTAAAAAAATAAACAAAATTACACCAAATATAACAAGTGGAAACAAATTAACTTAAAGTATTCTTTCTAATCAAAGCAGAAAATAATTTGAACCCAAAAAATAACATTATGGCTCTAAAATCAGACCTAATTATAAAAGACGTACTTAAGTAGTAAGTAAAAAAACTATGAAAAACTTAAAATAGGTATCAATTAGAACTATAAAACATAAGTTTGTATCAAATCAAAACATAATTAAAACATTACTATAATCCTATTCTGTGTTAAAACTCAAAAAATTAAAATTGTTTGCACCTAAGCCATAGGTCAGTACTCAACTAAAAAATGAACACCAAAACAAAGGTACAGCAATCATTATAATACTTTCAAACGACTCAATTCAACTAAAAATATTTCGTAATAAGGTAAGTAAAACACAACACTTAAATAAAACTCAAAACTCAAAAAATAATATGACACTAATCAGGTACATTGAGTACACCAATCAACAACTTATCCTAATATCAATTTACTTAGAACTAAAAATACTTTCATAACAAAGTAAAACATAATTTAAATTCAAAACAATTGAAATGGCTGTACCTAATCAATACTTAAATGTAAGCTTGTTAAAAAAGACATAAACATAGGTACCCATTCATTCAAACACAGCGTAAATCCCTTCAAAGTTAGAGTGAACAGGCTCCTTCTGGGTAAGCTCGCTCCATCGTAGACTTTGTCTCTGTCATCTCTGACCAAGACTAGAGTCAAGAGCAAACACATCACAAAAAAAGTATAATTTAAAATTAAATAACAAATGTATTAAAAAACATGACGTTCATTTAACAATGTAAAAACCCTATTGTAAAATCATTTTACTCATGCTGTTAGGGTTTAAAAGTTTAGTTTAGTTTTCAGCAATATGTAGAGCAAGGGGCCAAAATAAGCTTACTCATCGACTTCAGATGAATCAGTGGAGCGTGATGGACCCTGGTCTTCGTTTGAACATGGTAAACTTTCGTACCAGCCGTGAAGCTCTTTAGGAATTATATTTTTCTTACAGAGCTGTAAAAGGTCTTTCTTTTTTTTGTTTTGTTATAGGAAGACATTGTTTATATGCCCGGGGAGATCTTCAGTATTTATAGTTGGCATTTCAGAGTTTGGAGTTCTCCTAGTCGGTCTCCCTGGTTTACAAAGAGTATTAAGTAAGTTATATGGCCCATCGTAATCGTATTTGTATTTAATAAAACCAGGTAATTCTTTATCAAATCTAAGACTTTTTATTTTTAACCAGCACACTTTCTCCCCATTCTCCGCTATAGTTTTGTTTTTAATTATTTTCGAAGCAAGTGCTTTTACATCAATCGTGTCATGATAATTCAGTTACATTATATGGAGTTACATTTTTATTTTGTCTTTTTGATCTTGCCCGTAGCATAATTCCCTTCCAATCTATTATAAAATACGTGTCTGTGTACATTTTTTCTTTTTCTATGGCACTATGCATTGAATCTACTTCCATAAAACTATGACCACTTTCTAGATACTTCTGTTCTAATACTTCGATTTTCTCATGCGTATGTACTAAGTACAATAAAAATGCTGCTATGTACTGATTTCGGTTTTGTGTCGGAATAAATGGTGACGTACGTTAAAACCTCGGGGAGATTCTTAATCCATAAATGAATAGCAGATGCTATTTCAGCAATGCCTCTTTTGCCGTTGATTTCCGTCCAGATCATACAGTGAGCGTCGTTCTGTGGAGGTTTAAACTCATAAATAGATAAATTATATAAATTTAATTTTCTGGAATAATACATTAGACTATCTGCAGTCGATGGAATCTGCAGTAGACTTTGCAAGTCCATGGTGACACACAAATATGATTCATGTCCCGACTTCTTTTTATCCAGCTCTTTAGATCTATAAGATGCCTCTTTTCGCTCTATACGTTGAGTATACTCATTTTGAATATTTATATTAGTTTTATCTTTTTTGTAATTGTTACAAATGCTACATTGATCCTTCTTGGGGTGATAGAACGCTAAATTGTATTCTGTACCAAACACTTTCTTATAAATTTTTAATTTTACTGGCACTTTATTGCTTTCTTTCATTTTCTGCACATAAAAATCATACATTTTTGATATTGACAAGGTAAGTTCTATGTATTTCCTGTTTTTTTTTTCTACAGTAATGGGAATCAATTACAGGAAAACTTTCAATGTATTTTTTACCTCTTGTATCTGTTCTCCAGGAGTTTTGTTTGCAGGCACTTGTCTGCCACGATTATCCATTTTTGTAAATACACCATGATCATCCACATGTTTTACTGCAGTTTCTATTGGACCAGTAGAAATGCAAAGAGTGGACATAAAATAGTTCTTGCATACTCGTTCAAATACAGTATTATTTTTATAGAAACCGTATTCTCTGCTAGAACTTCTTTGTTTTTCGATTGGTACAGATTTTCTTGTAGTCTGTACTGGCTTAATGATGATGCGCTTAAGCAAAAACTCTTTTTTGCATCTTAAAATCTTGTATAGATCTTGTATAGGATTTGCAAAGTTTCTCACGCTCGTTTTGTGTAAACTTTTCTGTGCATTTCTGGCGACAATTTTGGCTGCATTTAGGACTTTTAGGTAGTTTAGCTGTAAGAAACTTTTTTTACTCTTATATGGCAAACATTTTCGTTTCTTCTCCAACTCTTTACTTCTTTTCCAGTTTGTTTGATTAGTATTTTTCCATCTGTAGATTTCTTTTTCCTTATTTCCTGTTCCTTTTTCTGAATCTGTTGTCGCAGCGATTGTACTATTGTGTTCCATGATCCTTCTATCACGGTTAACTGGTGAGACTTGGTCAATAGGAGTTTCAATAGTAGCGCGAGTTGTTATAATATTACCTGTTTCATCTTCAAGTCACTCGACAAAATGGGGTTTATTCGTTCAAATATCTTAACTCTTTTTTTCTTCTTAGCTACTGAAATATTGATGTTTATTAAAGAACTACTTTTCCTTTTTATTTTATTTTCTTCATCTGTGTCCGGAATCCATGAAGATCCAGAATCAGAAAAAGGTTCTTCATCTGTCGAAGGTGGCATTGGTTCGATACCCGAAATTGGACTTGACCCTCTGATAGGTGAACTGACATCTTTATAGTTGTGTATTATGTTGTCATCTCCATTTAAATTAATTTTACTGCTACACAAAGACATGGGACTGACATTTACAGGCATAGGTGCTGATTGGGGTGGGTTATTGTTATTAGAAATCATTTCGCTAGCCATTATTGATGCTGGAGCCGATTCGCATGTAATTATCTTAAATCCGTCATGCTCAGGAAGCTTAGGAACATCAGTAACGAACAGCCCATCGGGCATTTTTTCTATCGTAATATCGACAGCAAAATTTATGTCGTTGCAAACATTTTTATTCGGATTTCGGATGGTAATTTCTGGCATGTTATAACATTATGTTTTTGTGGGATGACAATAATGGTACTTTGGTCCCGTTGTTTGATTGTCTTATTTTTGTCCTAAAACAATAAGAAGCAATAATATAGTAGGTATTTAATGAGGAAACAAGTAAAATAATAATCATGTGACAAGAGTTTATGCAGTCAAATTTGTCAAGTCAAGTCAAGGCACACGTTTGGTCATCAAGCTTAATAAGCCTCGGAATTCGCCAACTTTGATACGGTTAGATACATTAGGTATCTAGGTTGGTTAGGTCACTTAGGTAATAATGTCAGCCATACAACAAGAGTTAGGTACTTAAAACTTTTTTATGGGGTGGTGAAATCATCAAATGAGTCCTGCCGCCCTGGGCGGGGCGGGAGGGATTGTCAGGCTTGTCAGATTTAAACGTAGGTACCCTACGTAGTTTCACTCTTAAAAGAATATTTAAGGAAAATACCCAACAAAAACAATTTGTGTGACAAGCTAAAAGTAACCTTAATTCTTCAACTTAGGAGTCAAAATTCCAATGAAAGCAGAAGAGTTATCAATTTCTCCCACAACTCAAAATGATTGATATTCAAACTCGCATAAGGGAGGAAAAAATAAATAAAAAATACGTGTGGCACTCGGTGACTGCCGCGGTAAAGCTATTGCATAGCATTTTTTATCAACTTATGCAATTATAATTATTTATTTATTTTATTTATGCAGTTAAGTCTTTGATATTAAATCAAGTTACACTTTTTGAGAGTGGTGACCGATAAGAAAACAATTTTTTTTCTCTTATTGAATAAATGAGAAGTTAATATTGTTTAAAATATTTTAATATCTTACAATACATGTAGGTTATTCAGGAATTTTTATCATTGAGTTAGCAGCTAGTGTACACGCATACGTCTAGTCGCACGTACACAAACACCGTACCGAAGTCTGCCGAGTGCCGAAGTCTGCCGAACTGAAACGACGTTAGACGATGCACGGCTTTCAACGCCACACCTCCATGCTCGTCGTAGTGGGGAGCTTGAGGTTTTTTTTCGTTACTGAATTTCTGGATTCGGTCCCCGCGCTCAAGGCCCGCGATAGAAGCTATGCAATAGCTTAAAAAAACTCTAAACTATAGTCAACCAAATCTAAGAAATACATTTTGACAGCTGTCAGACTTTGCATCAGGCATGCCAACCAAAAATTAGGAACGTACAATATTCGATTCTTAAAAATCGATATCGATTATTTAGAGTTGGTAATCATTTACAGTTTGGATTGAATAATACCAGAATAAATTAAAAACGGATAATTTAAAACACATCATTTATTAGCTCCTACGTATTTATTGTTATTGCTTATTTCTAAAGGCACAGTTATAAAAATAATTAAAACTAAATTAAAAATAAATTTATTCAATCACTTTCAGTACAACTAAAAGAGCTGTCGTTGTTTAGATAGAAAAATAAACTTGTTTTATTCATGATTCATGTAATTTAAGGAATTTTAAAAATAAAAACTAAATTAAACAAATAATACATTAACCCTAGAATACTAATCATATTTTACAAACGTATAATATACTAATCATGAGTCATTTTGACTACACACGAATGAGTACATAAATTGAACATCAAAACCAATTTTCTGTCTCTATTTTTATTTTATATAGGTATAAGCTATGTTCATGTAGGTATTAAATAAAAAAATGTTTATATATAAGAAAAAATTTATATAAAAAATAGTTTTACTCTCTTAATACTTTTTTTGAGATCACAATCATGAATCTGATAATTTAAAAAAAAAGAATAACATAAATTAAAAACCTTCTTCTTTTAAAATTAATTAAAATAAAATAAGAACGAATTAACGATATAAAAGAGAAATTATCCTAATTTGGCACAATTAACACATATTTCTATCTTATGTTCCCCGCATATGTTTTTTTGGCACTTCATACATCTGATTTTAGTCATGCGGTTCTTTTTTGTAGGAGCAAAGTGAACATCTTTTCCTTTTTTTTTGCATCAGGTTCATCTTTTTGTTGGCTGCTGCCTTCCCCTATATTTGTAGGCACCAAATCCTGGATATTGTCTCTAAGCCTTTTTGATAGGGTTGGAATAGAAAGTCGTTTCTCGAGGAAAGGATTAACAAGTTGCATGTGCAACTCACGCATAAATGTTTTTCTATTTAGCGGCTTTTCTTTGGCACTGAGCTTGTTTTCGCAGTATATTACGTAGCTGTTTACGAAAGCAATGTTAAGAATTCCATAAAAAAGGCACATAGGCCATCTCCTAGTCTATCGGCTACAGCTCATATTTGAACACATTTGGTCTAGAGTGTCAACACCACCTTTCGTCTGATTATAAAATTCTACCATACTTGGCTTCTTTGTTCGTTCATTTATAGATCCGTGTTCTGACACGATGATAATAAATGAATCACTTTGTTAGGTTTGGGCTTGTATGACAATAGTGTTAAAGGACCATCATAACAAAAAATTGAAGTATCAGTAGCTCTTGTTCTTGAGTTTTGCAATTCATTGGGTATCTCTCTTTTATTCGAACGCAAAGTACCCACTAAAGTTAGTTGGTATGGTTGAGAAAGAAGAGATTTAGCGAGCGGAATAGACGTGAACCAATTATCTGAAGTTACGTTTCTATTTGAACCATGTAAAGGTTGGGTTAACTGTTTCACAAAATATTCACCAAGAGGCAGTCCTCCGGTTTCGGTAGCTTTTCCTAAATAGGGGGTTGCATTTACCATGTATTTGGTGCCGGCATCACAAATCATTACAATTTTTATACCGTACTTCGCCGGTTTGTTGGGTATGTACATGCGGAAAGGGCATCGCCCTCTAAAAGCTAGTAATTGTTCGTCAATAGTTACATACATTCCAACATTACAATTTGTTTTACATTTCTCAATAAACAGATTCCATACTTTTTGAATAGATACAAATCTGTCCCTATTTTGGGTAGATAATCTTAGAGACTTATTATCGAATCTAAGACATCGTATCAAGAATTCAAACCTATCTTTACTCATCGTGGTAACATATCTTGAACCAGAAAAAGATGCATCAAACAACTCATCGGTTGACAAATGATTGTCTTTGAGAGCAGCGGTTAAAACAAGAAGTCCAATTAATGCCCTAATTTCACATTTATCGGTTGTTTTCTGGGTGTTTCTAATGACTGAATAATTTTGCTGTTTTACTATAATCTCAGGATTTGTCCATTGTACAACTTCATCTATAATTTCGTCAGTAATAAACATTTTAAAACATTGCAAAGGATCATTTTCACGGTGACATTGAGAAGTTGGACCTCGTGATATTCGTACAATATTAGAACTAAGAGTTCTCAATGATTGAGGCTTTTTCGTAGACCAAACATGCCTGTCTTTCCCACGCAAAACCGTTTGCTACTGGCTTCTCGTAGATTCTTCGAGAGTAACAGGTGATTCTATTCTGGGTGAACTGGTAGATATTACCTCCATTGGCTCGTCGTCTTCATCAGTTTGTTCAGAATCCTCAACCTCCAAATAATCCTCAGTTTCACTCCCCTCAGTTTCTCCATCGCTATCACTAGTGACACCATCATAGTTCAGATATCTGGCCAATTCTGCGTCCGTGAAATTTCGACCACCGCTTGGACGTGACGAAGACATTTTTAATCTAAAAACAGATAAAAAAGTAAATAAAAACAGGCAATGACTCAAAACACCGCTGTATGCTAAACTTCAAAAAGTTACACAAAGACTAATCATGAGTCATTTCGACTCTGAAGTACGTCGTATTTACAAAATGGAGACACTTACCTGCACAACGCTATCGCTCCCAAAAACGTCTTACCGACGACTGTGTTGACACAAAGAATCGTGACGATCCGCGCGTTCTTTAGAGAGAGATAGCAAGAAATATGTGCGGTGCGAGTCAAAATGACTCAGATTAGTATTCTAGGGTTAAAAGATTAATGATTCGATTATTTGAATTATTATTCATATATATATATATATATATATATATATATATATATATATATATATATATATATATATATATATATATATATATAGAAGCTATGCAATAGCTTAATAAATATCAGTACATAGTTATGACATAATTATTAATTAATGTTGTTCAAACGTTCTTACGGTTAAGAAAGACGTACTTAATCGTATTATTTCTAATTTCTTAATTTAATTTGCAAAAAAAATTGTTCTAAATTATCGTAGGTAATATACCTCAGATGCATCTTCTTCATTTTGACATATTTTCACCATAAATCTATCTCGCGAATCCATTATTGGTCACTCTGACGTCAACGCAATTGAAGTTCACGTATTAGACTAAAACGCACGACACGCGAGCGTGCATCAAACCGCACCCACTCACCCCCGCGCTCTCCGTCGTCGTTCCCGATCAGAATATTTTGCGCCAAATTCTCTTAAAAATTTAATGATACTTTCCTCAGGTGCATTTTGTTTTATGGCAATTATAAACAACTTAATTTATTTAATTTTATTTGCCTAGTATCTTATAATTAATCATTATCTAGTTGTAGAAGAAATAGATAACATCAAGTATTTATAAATTAAGTACGTTATATCAGAATTCTGAATAGCAGAATTAAATAAATAGAGTTATTTAGTTTTCCTAGAAATTAGTTAGTTTTGTGAAAGAATTTTGAAGTTGAGGAAAAATTCAACAACTCATGTTATTTAATTTATTTGACATTCAACTTATCATTGACCACAGTTATTGATTTATTTACTGAGTTATTTATTTTTCCTTTAAAAATAGTGTTTGTCTGAAGATATTTATTATTCCATCTGTCCGACAAAAATGGCTATATTTTTAGAACGGAATAAGATACGAAAACGCCTGTAAGGCTCAAATATGCGGCATGTTTTAGGTGTTTTGAAAATAGGGAAAAGTCAATATCGCCAAAATCGGACTTATTTAATTTTCCAACTACGGGGACGATATTCAAAACGTATAACTTTTAAAACCACACGCTCTGTGCTATAAAGTTATATGTTAAGCACTGGCGTCGACCCAATACTGGCAAAGTTTTGCTATCGATATGGGACATAAATATTTCTACATTGTTCTTTAAACGTAATTAAGGCTCGTAAATTAGGCTTTACGTGAAATATATTCTCTCTCAGTATGATGAACATTGTGGAAGAGCAATACGTACAATAAAATTTCTAGAACTAAATGATTTCGTATACAATGACAATTCGAAATTGTTATCATTATTAATTTAAGCGGACATAAGGGACTAAGTTTCCGAATAGAACGGAACATATCTGCATCAATCAACTTACGATACGAATCATTATAGTGCATTGTCATCCCTGATGACTAAGATGACCTCGTTATCAGCAAAAATTACCTTTTAATCTACATTTATAGGTAATTAATATAAAACTTTGTATAAATACTAATAAGCAATTTTTTATTTTACATTAATTGTAAAACCCAAGTTGGGAAATGAGACTAACGAGTCTTTGGAAATGTTTCTTCGAAATTTTGCTTAAATAAAATAACTGATCCTCATCAACCTTTCAATAAAATTTTATAGGCCAAAATAATCCACTGAAGGAGCGACTACGAGGATGCAGTAAGAGCTGGTTAACATGACGATATAGGTATTTTTATTGAATGAAGTTGACAATAGAGCATACACTCCATCCTCGTCGTCATCGTCGATGCTATAGCCCATTTACATCTACATTTATCTTCTACTCGTATTAAGAATAAAAATGAAGATATGTTGTCACCTTTGAGTTCTGAGAAGGAATGCCTTGTTTCCACTAAAAGGGTCTCCAGTACTCTACTCTCACAATACGAAACAAGGCAGCATTTAACTGCTACTTTACTGTAGTATTCAGTGGAAACTTGATCCTAAACAAGTTCAGCTGAACTTTTCTTGCTCCAACCATAATATAGCTGCATCTTGGCTCTACCACATATCATATAGGTATTACGCGGTTTTAGTTCGGTATTTTCTTTGACTTTTTTACTGGAAACGAAGTATTTAAGCTTAGTTCTCAGGGGTCAAAGTAAATCGATATTTTGATTCTAAATCGAAGACTAGACTAGACTAGATATCCATGTGTCACAGCATCCACCTATCATCGGGTATACTGTGCATTTGTCCGTCATTATCAAAATCCAACCCAAGCATATAGCTGCAAGCCTTCAAGATACTATACATATATTTCATACTGCGTAGATCGGAACAAAAAATAATAATTTTCATCTGACAGGTGCTTAACTGTGACATTGCAACGTTGAACATCGGTCCCGCCCGTGACCATGGGGAATGGTGCTCACAACGTCGGGAATATAAAATGCCATCAAAAACAGAACTTGTAAAAAACCAAGTCTCGCAACTCATTTCTTCTACCGTAAAAAGTTGTGAGATCCATGTAATACCAAGTCGGTTAATTTATTTATTCTCTACTTAAGGGTTCTTCTATCTTAACTTATTACGTACTTAGCTAACCTAACAACATCTTATAGTGACCATATCAATATTGTTTTTTTTTTACAAGTTATGTTTTTGATGGCATCTCATTTATTTTTGTAGATAGTCCTACTGTTTTCCTTCCCGGTAACTTCTACTTCTTAATTACCAACAACGTACCTATATACACCCATTTTTACATTATATCATACATATACTTTGCAATCCTATATATTTACATGGGATTACAATGTTGAAATAATACTAATTTTTACGGAATTTATCGCGTATATTTAACTTTTTTACTCGACGTTTCGAGAGCTTTACAGCACCCATGGTCACGGGAAGGACTGAGATGTTCAATGTCCAGCTGTCATAGTTAACCGCGGTTACCATAGATTAAAATTTAACTTTTGTTCCGATCTACACAGTATGAACTTATGGTATCATGGAGTCTTGCAGTTGTATGCTTGGGTTGGGATTTAATTTTATTTATTATAGGATCCCAAGCAGATGGTAGCACCCAGCCATCTTCTCTATTGAAATTAGGATGTTTTTTGATTTCAATAGCCTCGCGAATCATCCTTGGAAGGAATCGGTGTTCTTTAGCGAGGATTTGTGGTCTATCAAATCTGATGTAGTGACGGGGGCGATCCTGTACATGTTCACAGACTGCAGACTTCCCGGATCGTCGATTCTTCACATCAGCTATATGTTCTTTGACGCGGGTTTTAATTCATCTTTTAGTTTGTCCTATGTAGGAGAGACCACATTCACAATTTTCGTTACACTAACTTTTCGTTACTTGTTAACGCGGGACGTTACACTTGACTGATGGTAAAAACTGACCAATCTTCTTCGGCGGCTTGAAGCATGTTTTGATGGAAGCGCGCTTCAAGATGTAGCCAATCTTGTCAGTGACTCCTCTAACATATGGCAGTACAGCAGGTACACGCTCGACTGTGGCCGGCTTCACTCGTTCTCTGTGACGTAGGCGCGGGACCCGAAGCTTGTTGTCATGCAAAACTTGCTTGACATGTTGGAGCTCGGCAGCCAGGTGTTTACTGTCACAGATCCCTCGTGCTCTCTGAAACAAAGATTTACCCACGGTAGCTAACTGTGAAGGATGGTGGTGAGAATCACCGTTTAAATATCTATCTGTATGGGTCTTTTTTCTATACACAGTATGGCTCAAGGTGTTATCAGGATTCATCAGGACTCTAGGAAAGTTGATGCAGTTAGTGTACCTAGTAAACTGGATCAAAATTGCAAAATATTTTAATTTTTCTTTTATTTATACACTCAATACTAATTGTATTCAAAATGTGAAGCTTCTATGTCTGCTAGAAAAGCCTGTTTGCCTGTTAGCCTGTGAGTTTTGATGATCGGTCAGTCAGTCAGTGAGTGACAAAATTAAAAAAAATTGACTGATTATAATTCTTAAAATACTGGTTCAAATTGAATGAAATTTAAAATATACTGTGTTTATACAATTCCTGCTTGTTTACTGAATATTTAGGCTTCTAGTTTTACTCACAATGAAGTTATAAGGGGTCGAAAATAGCCTGAATTGCTACGAGGAAAGGATGGTACGGCTTTGGCGCTTTTTTGTTGCTCGACTTGGCGAGCAAATAAGTTAATACGCGATGAAATCCGTAAAAAATAGTTTTATTTAAATACATATTAAGAGTTAAAATAAGAGTGAATAAGGGCGGAGAATGGCAGCTGAAAGAGGTGTTGCATTAGCGACCAAACGATACTACCAGAGTTACTGCGCCCACGTGATCTTGATATGGAGACTTCGGGGAAGCCCGATACGCCTAGAGATCGCCATCGGATCCTCTGGCCACGACACTTAAAATTAAGAGAACTTAAAATTAAGAGAAAATAAATTTTTATGCAACTCTTTAGACGACATTGAAGTTGTGAGATCTCTTGATCTAGTCAAAAGGGTAAAAAGAATTAACTTCTAATGTAAATCCGAATCCGAGTTCAAAAAACTAAAAAGAAAAATTATGTTCACATTCTTAAGTCATGACATTAATACTTCTATACACTTTGTCTTAGCACCCACCTCGGTATGTGAAATTATTTTGTTCTTTCTTGTTCCTTGAAGTAAGTTTTTACTTTATAATACAATTTAATTCTTTTACGGTAATTATATAAAAAAGGGTTCATTTTACAGATAAG